AATATTGCTTCTGAACAAAATACTGAAAACTTTACTTAAAAAGGTATAAATTTTTCTTAAATTTCCCATCTTTTGTAAGTGTAATCTTTTCTGCATATCCCTTTATTAAATTTACATTTTGTTTTTTTAAAATATCTGACTAATAATTCTTCCTCTGAAGCTTTCAATTGAGTTGCATCAATCTGAATTTTTCAAATCTGTTTATATCAAGGCTTATCTGAAGTATCCATATTGACCAACCATAGAGAGCTTGCAAAACCAGAATCACTACAAATCGGCAGAAAATTCCCGTCAAATTACAAAATTAGTTGGACGTGAACTCCTAATTATCGATTCTTTCAATTTCCCCTTTCATAAGTTATATAGCCATAAGGAAAAATCATTTAAACCCATTATTAGAAAACGGTTACTACACCGCACTCGAGGAGCAGGATCTATTTTTCGATTGTTTACATTGTAAAATATGCTTTTAGAAAGCAATTTTTCCATGTTCCATTTGCTTAATAATAATTTCATAATTAGATGGTGGCCTTTTAAAATGTTTGAAATATCGTTTTCTTTAAATTCATCCATTATATTGATAACTTTTTTTTGTACTCCTATCGAATAACAACAAAGACTCTTAAGTTCAAATAGTTCATTTTTTGTATCTCCATTTATATAATGGGGGGAAAATTATTTTTCTAATCTTTTTAATCTCCTCCAGCAATTTAAATTTCTTTATGGATTTGTTGGAATTTTTATTTAAACCTGACCCTTTTTTTTTTGAAAAATGTTCGTTTGTAATGGTTTGTTTAAAATTTTAGGCTATTGTAGTGGATCTTGTTTAACATCTTTCCACAACCTCGTTGAATGCCAGTCTTTTTCCACGTTTTTGAAATAATATTTTTGCAAATTCCCAAAAAAAGTTCAGTAAATTATTTTGTTACAAAAAAAACTTTTTTCTACCCAATTGTTTTTTAAGACTGGCCATCCCATATTTTTTTAGAATATTTTAAAAATATTACCACCTCTTAATATCTTTTCTATTATTTTAAACCCATACCATACTTTAATTGGATACAACTGTTTTGTGGCTCCGTGATTATCATTTTATTACCGCAAATATAATCTAAAAACTAAATTTCACCATTGAAGTCAATGAGTCTATTTAATTGATCAGTAACTTGTATTCTAATACAATAAATATGATCTGTTCTATCTAAAGGAAGATATTTTGGGTGAAAAGGTTCTATATTTATTAAGGATCCAGGGTTAACATTTGGTGAAAATGTATATAAAATATTCGAACTTTGATTATTTTTATAAGATCCACTTACTAATGAACAATGAATTAAAATTCGATCTACATCTCTAGTTATATTTCCTATGTATTTAGCTACGTTAATTTTTTCCTCATATATTTTTGATTCAAAACCCAATAATTTAGAAAATTTACCACTTGTAAAATCAATTTTATATTTCGAATCATTTATAGCTAAGATGAACCTATTTGTGTTATCATTTGTATCAAATAAAAAAGGTAAATGATCTTCAGTAAGTGAAAATAAATCTTGTAAGTAATTATTTAAACCCTCAGCATCATAATTTCCATCCGGTATTGTTAATGTAATCCAACTAGTGCCATCAAAATATTTAAAAGTATTATTATCAAATTGTTTACTTATATTATACCATGAATACCACAATGATGCACCTGTTAAAGCAATTTCCTTATAATGAGTTAATTTAATAGGATTATTGGCATAATTTACCTCAAAATCGCTTTTATCAGAATCAATTGATATCAGCATTTATATAGAAGAAAATATTTTCTTATGATTTGTTTTCGTAATTAATCCTAAATTTAATAATTTATCTAATATTTCAACAATTTCGTTATAGATATTTTCACAATCATTACCGGCTCTTCTTGATGCAATAAGTATATCCATTCTTTCAACCATTTCATTGGGATTTAAAAAAATTGACGCGCCAGTTTGATAATTATTAGGCATGTCTCTAATATTTTCTAGTACCATTCTATGAGATCGTAATGCATTTATTATACGTTCTGCCTGGGCTTTCTTGTTCAAATCATTACTATTTTTTTGTGGCCCATATGATTTGAATTCACGTTATTAAGAACTTCCTTTATCTTATTGTTTCGATCATCAAGATTATCAATTTCTAAAAATGTAGACGGTAGTTCGAGTTTAAGAGTTGTTAACACAGGCTTATCCATATTTTTATTAACATCGAGTATTATAGGAGGTTTAGAACTAGGTACTTCTCGATCAACTGGTGGAGATGTAACAGATTCTTCTGCCTCAGTTATTATAGGTCGTTGAGACGCAGGTTCTTCTATTATAGGTAGATCAGCAAGATAATTTAACAGATTTTGCTGAATATTATTTATTTTAGCAATTTCTTGTAATTGATTTTTATTTTCTTTAATAATAGGTTTATGAAATTTTTCTATTGCTTCTTCCGTTAATTGTTCCCTCATTTTCCTTTCTCTAATTTTTTGATCTATGATTTTTCTATTTTTCAAAATACTTCGGATTAGTTTCTGATTATCCATTTACTACCTTAAAAATTTTAAAGCTAGTTTGAATATTAAGAAGCTAGTTTCAAAAATTGTACGCTAATAAATGGACGCTGAAATACAAATTAAGAATTACAATGTTAATGAGAAAGAGTATCATAATATAAATAAATTAGCTCCTCAGTGGCCTTTTAGGTTACTAATTTGTGGAAATTCAGGGTGTGGCAAGACAAGTCTGTTATTGAATTTAATTTGTGAATATCTTTGTTTTAACAATTTACATATTTATGCAAAAGATATAGAAGAACCATTATACAGAAACTTACAGGATCTTTATAATAACGATTGTTTAAAAGATGTAATATTTTCCAAGTTTTCATCAGATCCTGAAGATATTGTAGATGTTGATGATTTAGATCCGGATAAACAAAATTTAATAGTTTTTGATGATTATGTTACTATAAAAGATCAATCCATGATAAAGATTTATTCATCAGAGGTAGAAAGAGAAACACATCCGTAATTTATTTAACTCAATCCTATTTTAAAGTACCTAAGGATATTAGATTACAATGTAATTATATAATTTTGTTTCCATCTTGTAACAAAATTTAATTTTAAGTGAACATTCCTTGGATAATCTTAAAGAAATGTATGCAAAAGCTACCCAACAACCACATTCATTCTTTACAATTGATTTAAAAAATCCCGAAATGAAATATAGAAGTAATTTTACACCTATAAATAATAATGTCCTATATACCAAGAAATCGAAGAGGAAAAAATAAATCTTCAAAAGGATCTCCCGGTATTGGATTTAAATTAACAAATGATGGTGATTTTGATATATCTGATAGAAAACTGGTAAATGTAAAAAGTCCTGAAAATCCAAAAGATGTTGTTAATAAGGAATATTTATTACAAAAAGCATTAACTTTTCACGATCATTATAGTGTAGTTGATTTGAAAGATAAATATCGAATAATTGGATCTGGAGTTATACCAAATGATAATAAAATAGATAAAACTCTTGTCACCGGTGGTTGGGTTAAAGATAAAACTTTGACGCTTGAAAACGATGTTTATAATTCTAAAAATAAAAGAATTGTTAATGTTGATTATCCAAAAGATGAATTAGACGCCGTAAATAAAACATATGTTGATAACAGAACCTTTAAAATGAGTCAAATCGATTCAAGTAAACTGGATAATATTCTTCATAGAAGTGATAACGGTTTATATGTAAGTTTGAAGGATATAGACAAATCGTCTAATCGATATTTTCAATTGATTTTAAACGGATATTTTTCGGCTATGGATGTCATTACATACAGTAATACAAATAAAACATGGAATAATAAAGTTAGTTCTGGTTCTCCTTTTGTATTTTCAATGGAATATTATGATTATAACAGTTTTAAATCTACAAAACATCCTGATGTATTCAGATTACAATCAAATGGTAAAATTAAAAAGATTAATTATCACAGTTCCAATAAGCATTATAGTAGTGTAATTTCACTTTATATTAATAAAGTAGAACAATTATTAATGAGTAGGAATAGTGACGAATATAGTAATACAGTAGGATATATACCTTTTAAGGAAAATGACTTACTTGAAATTAAATTTAAAGAAAGTTATCCATCTGAACATAATCCTGATTTTAATCCTATTTCTTTTCATACAGTTTCAATATTTTTATCATACGATATTTAATTATTTATAGAAAACGGCAGAATCTGCCGTTTTGATAACTTATCTGCATATTGCGGAAATAAGTAAAAACCTTGAAAAATTGTAACCACAATTTAGCAGTTTACACGATACATAACAAAATCATTATAAAACTTTCGCAATCTTCTCTTAAAGTCAGGGGGATGTCTTGTTTCAAAAACCATATGGAATATGTCCTCTTCTCAGTCTTGAGTTTTTTAAAAATGTAAACTAAATTTTGTAAGATACAGCCATTAACACACTTGTCAACTTTTTGCAGCATTTCTGAAAAAACAAATGTTTAAATTATATTTTAAAAAATTAAACTTACCTGCAATTAATAATTACTTCTTCTACAGGAATTACTTGCCCCATTCACATAACTTTGAATTACTTGATTAAAATGAATAATTTTTTGTGTCATTCTCATACGGTGCTTATATAACTACTAAAAATAAGTAGGAAAAGCACATGATAAACCTTGATTCACGATTTAACTTCTAGGCAACTTAACATACATTAATGAATTTTTCTGTATATAAATGACAACTTACATTCCGTATAACGTTTATTTATCAGATAACCAGAAACAGAAATTAAAATCTTGTTTTCAGAATAAAAGTTCATGTTCGTTGAGATTAAAGTTTCAAAATCCTAATCAAAAAATTAATTTAACTCAAAGACAAATTAATAACATTGAGAAAGCTAAAAAAGAGAAAAAAGGATGCGATATTGAATTATCACCTCCCCAATTAAAGCAAAATGGTGGTTTTCTACCGTTTTTAGCGGCATTGGCACCTTTTATTATTCCAGCCGCAAAAGCAGCTGCATTAGGTGCTGCAGGAGCTGCAGGCGCGAAGATAGTACAAAAAATAGCTGGAAATGGTATAAAAACTCCCGGAAAAAAATATAATGGTGGAGGTCTTAAAAAAAAACACTAAATGAAATATATTATGATCCGAAAACGGGTTATACAGGTATTCAAGATTTAATGAGAAAAACTAAATTATCTCAGAGGGAAGTTGAAGAATTTCTAAAACAACAAGATGTTTATACTTTACACAAACCTATAATACGAAAATTTACAAGGAGAAGAGTTTATGTTAAAGGAATTGATGAACAATGGCAAATAGATTTGGTAGATATGAGAAATTTAAGTCAAAAAAATAATCATTACAATTATATCTTAACAATTATAGATTGTTTCTCAAAATATGCTTGGGGTATTCCAATTAAAAAGAAAACTGGTGAATTTATTTCTGAAGCATTTAATAAACTTTTTAAAGGAGAAAGAATTCCTAAAAAGATTCAAAGTGATAAAGGATTAGAGTTTGTTAATAAAACCACTCAGGAATTATTTAAGAAACATAATATTCATTGGTTTACCACCCAAAATGAAACTAAGGCCCAAATAGTGGAAAGATTTAATAGAACCTTAAGAGGTCTTATGTTTAGATATTTTACGGCTAATCAGACTAAAATATGGATTGATGTTTTACAAGATTTAATTTATAATTATAATAATTCATTTCATACGAGTATTAAAATGACACCAACTGAAGCTAGTTTAAAAAAGAATGAAAAAAGGGTAAGACAAAACTTGTATCCTTTAGAAAGTTATGATAAATCTACAAAATATAAAGTTGGTGATAAAGTTAGAATATATTTAGAAAGAAAAACATTTAAGAGAGGTTATACACCGAATTATACCAAAGAAATTTTTATTATTAGTAATGTTTTAGATACACTACCGATTACATACAAAATAAAAGATTTAAAAGGTGAGGAAATTATTGGTAGTTTTTATAAAGAAGAATTATCAAAAGTTTCTTAATAAAATTAATAAAATTTTATATATATAAATGAATAAGATTTGTACTAAGTGTAAAAAAGAACAATCTTTAGAATGTTTTGATAAAAATAATAGAACTAAGGATAGATTAAGAGGATGGTGTAAAGGTTGTGTTAGAGATCATTATATTTCTCGTAAAGATAAAATATATGAAAAACTAAAATGTGAATGTGGTGAAGAAATTGTTAAAACCTATATAGATAAACATATAGAAACAAATATTCATAGGAGAAGATTAAATAAAATTAAAAAATGTTCTGTGTGTAAAATAGAGAAACCGTTAGAGAATTTTCATAATAATAAAAGTAATAGTGATGGTCATAATTATATTTGTAAAAAATGTCAAGCTAATAATTATTTTAAAAAAAATTAATAAAAATTTTTTCTAATAAATGGATAACTTGAATTCGATGAGAGTTGTTGATCTTAGACAGTTAGCAAAATCTTTAGGAATTAAAGGACTGAACAGAATGAGAAAAGAAATTTTAATAAATAATATTTCTACACAATATGAAATTAACAGAAAACGTAAAGCAGATAAATTTATTCAAAATTTTGAAGATTATGATTTTCAAATATCTAATTCAAAAGAATATAGAAATGAAGTTGATGATGTTCAAATAATAAAATCAAAAGGAGCTTGGGGAAATATGGTTACAGATTATTCAATTTATTGTAAATCTGGAAAATATGATATTGGATTATTCTTTGATAACATTAAAGAGAAAGTAGTTAATCTTATTAATAATGAATTAAATAGAAAAAAATCAGTAACCATTAAATTTATAGCTGTTGTTCAATATAAAAATAATGCCACAAATGAACTATATAAATATCATTCTCATTCTCAAAATCATTATATAACATTAAACCAAACAAACGTTATTGAATGTGTTGTCGAAGAATCTAAAACTAATATAATAGGAAAGATGGAATCTTTTAATGCAAAGAATACTAAATTTGTATTTGATGAAATCGTTAGAGTGGATTTGTGTTCTGATAAATATAATCCTCTTCGTGGTGGAACATATGTTGAATTACCACCATTCATTAAAAATAAAAAATGTTGTATTAATATTAAAAATATTAAAAATAATAAATTTAAGTGTTTAATGAAAGAAAACTTAAGATGTATTGAATATGCTTTAGAATCTATTTTAAATCCAGTTAGTGATCATTCTGATAGACCGAATCAATATGATATATCAAAATATGAAGAATTGAAAATGAATTATCCTGTAGAAATAACTAAGGAAAATATCGAAATTTATGAAGAGTTTCTTAATATATCTATTAATGTATATGAATTTAATAACAGTAATTTTGAACTATTACATACAAGCTGGAAATATAAAACAGTAGAAAAACATGTAAATTTATTATTATATAATAGTCATGTTGTGGGAATAAAAAATATATCTGGTTTATTGAGTGGTCAAATCCATAAAAGAGATAAGCGTATGTCTATTTGTATGAAATGTCATAAAGTATTTGATAGTGGAGACAAATTAAATGAACATATTGAGAATTGTGTACATGAAAAAACTATTATTGAAATGCCTAGAAACAGTATTAGACAATATATTTCAAATGGAGCTGAACAATTTCATCCGTTTGTTGTTAGTCTTGATTTTGAATGTACTCTTAAGAAAATAAGTGAAAACATAGGAGAATCATCAAAACATATTCATGAACATATTCCAAACAGTTTTAGTTTTTATTCAAATTGTAATACTTTAATTAGAAATGAAAATGTAGATTTATTAATGAAAGAATTTAATGAAGAATTAATTAGACTTGGAAAAGAATATAATAAAATAAGAAAAACTAATATACCAATGAGGTGGAATAATATTGATGATATAAATAATTATATGAATGCTACGAATTGTGATATATGTGGTATAGAATTTGATGGAAAAAAGGTATACAAAGTAAGAGATCACAATCATGTAAATGGACAATATAGATCTGCTTTATGTAATAAATGTAATTTAAATTTAAAATTACCTAAATTTATTCCAATAATAATTCATAATTTAAGATATGATTCAAAATTATTTTTAAAATGGATATTAAAATTAAGTGAAGACGAAGATGAAAATGAAGATGAAGATATTAACATAATTCCAAATACTAAAGAAAATTTTATTACATTTTCTAAAAAGGTTATTGTTGATAAATATAATCAAAAAAATGATATATCTATATGTAAAAAATGTAAAACAAAAGAAGAGAATAAAATAATTCAATGGTGTTCTGAATGTAATTCAAAAATGATAGTTAAAAAAAAAGGTGATAAGCAAAACGTAATTATAGAATTTAGGTTTATTGATTCATTTCGTTTTATAAGCACAAGTTTAGATAAGGCGATAAATAATTTAGCAGAAGTAAATGATTGTTATTGTTCAAAATGTAGGTCAAAGCAAGAAATAAATAATATTACTATATTACCAATTGATGAAAATAATATTTTAAAATTAAAAGCTAAATGTAAGAAATGTGATAATAATGTAAGTAAAGTAATTGATTATAAAAAATTTCAAAATATATTGAAAGAGTTTAAAAAACAAGATTTACATTTAGTTTTAAGAAAAGGTATTTATCCTTATGAATGGGTTGATGATTATTCTAAATTTAGAGAAAACATTCCGTTAAATAAGAAAGATTGGTATTCTACTCTTAATGATAAAAATATAGATGATTTAACATTTGCTAATGAAGTATATAAACATTTTAATTGTAAAAACTTTGGAGAATATCATGATTTATATTTAAAATTAGATACAATATTACTAAAAGATGTTTTTGATAATTTTAGACAAACTTGCTACGATAATTATAAATTAGATCCGGTTTATTATATTTCTGCACCTAATTTAGCTGATGCTGCATCATTAAAAGAAACAAGACAAAAATTGGAATTAATTACCGATCAAAAAACATATGAAATTTATGAAAAGGGAATTAGAGGCGGAATATCTATGATTCCACACAGACACGCATTAGCAAATAATTGTTATTTCTATGATGAAAAAACTTGTAAAACAATTAAATTGAGTAGAGAAAAAGCTGAGGAAATAGGAATATATAATAGTAAGAAACACATCAGTTATATTTTATATTTGGATGCAAACAATTTATATGGTCATTCATTAAGTCAACCTTTACCAATAGGAAAATTTACTAATCATAATGGACCTAATGGATTTACTGAAGAAAAAATTTTAAAATTAGAAGATGATGATAAATATGGGTATACATTTATTGTTGATTTAGATATACCAGAAGAATTACATGAAAAGTTTAAAGATTATCCAATGTTACCAGAACATTATAAACCGAATTATGATGAACTATCTCCTTTTCAAAAAGAATTAATTAATAAGAAAATTGGAAATCTTCCAAAAGATACTAAATTAATAAACACTCTTAAATCAAAGAAAGATTATGTAATTGATTATAGAATGCTGAAAGAATGTATTAAACAAGGAATAGTTCTTAAAAAGATTATTAATTGTATATCATTTGAACAAAAAGCATGGTTAAAACCATATATTGATAAGAATACTAAATTAAGACAAGAAGCTAAAAATGATTTTGAAAAAGATTTTTATAAGTTGATGAATAATGCGGTTTATGGAAAACAAATGGAAAATGTTAGAAAAAGATGTGATGTTAAATTAATAAATTCATTAGTAAAATTTGATGAACATAAAATCTATGAAACAAGAACCATAATTGATGATG